AGCCAGGCCACTTTTTTTTTCAACTTGGGGCATAATGGGGGGTAAAACAGAATAGACTGTACTATATTGTACAATTTTATATTTTTGCTTCTTATAACACCCAATGTAAAAAACTAATCAGAAAATTTGATGAACTCACTTATTTTTAAAGTAAAATATATAGGGCATCTCAGTAGTACTTAAATTAATTGCAATATTAATGGTATTACACACCTCTGATTGTGAATCTGGAATGGACATATCAAGAGAAATGGGGAGGGGAGCACATAATATTTGTTTATGTTTTTTTGTGTGTATTCTGTAACCAACAAAGTCATGGATTCACATATAGATTATTGTGTTTACAAAGGTGAATGGATCTACATGGACCTCTGTTGGTAATTTTAAAGTTAAAATAGTAAAATACTGTACATTATATATATATATATATATTCTGTGCAACATCCCATGTCAAACATGGAAACTAAAAATTACCCTCACATATGTTTAAAGAACAGTTAAGTAGAATAAGCAGAATTAATCATCTAAGAATAAAACTGTATTAAGCTGAACTCAAACATTACTGAAATATAAGAACTAGAACACTTGCAAAAACATGGGATTATGTAATAGACATTGTATAACAACAATAATTAGAACATGGGGAGAATACTGCCAATGTAAATTTCCACATCATCATCACCAACATGATTAAGAAATAGCACATGATCTTAAGTAACTGGTCGTTATTTGTTACAAGCCGAAATACCCGACAAGGAATGTTTAAACTTAATTAAAACAAATGTAAGTTTAACAGCAATCATATATTTCAAAGTAATAATTTGAACATAAGCTTTAGCTCAAAATTTTAAAATTATAACAAAGCTTCTTCATAAACAAGATCTGCAGTTTGCTTTTCATGTAACAACAAATAAAGATTTTGAGGTGATCCCACCCTTAAACACCCTACATCTCATTGACCATGAGGGTGCAAACAGACACATATTTTGTCTTTATATATAAAGATATAGATAGATATGTAGCCTTAACAGCTACACACAATATATATATATATATACTTAGGGTTTTAAATATTTCTTACCTTCCTCAACAACTTCTCCTACAAAAACCTTAGCAATGCCAGATACAGCTATAACTACATTTTGGGAAACAGAACATCCAGTGATTGACTGCATAAGCTACATAAATGAAGACACAACAGTTTCATTAAACATCTAAAACAGATTTATTATAATAAACAGAAAAATTAAATATCTTTTCAAAATTAAGTGTAAAATAAAAAACAATTTGTCCATAAAAATACTTTGACAATAACTCTTTGTTTGTTATATTTCTCACAAAGATACTTGAAGAGTATCTGTGCTAACTATTCTTAATTTAGAAATGATAGACTAAAGGGAAGGCAGCTATTCAACACTACCCACCACCAATTCCTGGGATTGACCACCACATTATTACACTCCCATGGCCAAAAGGGCTAGCATATTCAGTGAAGGGATTGGAACCTGCGACTCACAGATTGTATGCCAAAGTTTCTAACCATCAGTTATGCAATAACTGATACCATACAAAAGTAGTTTATACCAAAGGATAAAGTACATGTAAAATTTGAAAATAAGATCACAGAACAGGGGATCCCTGTCAAACGTCATGGTGTGTTCCTTGAAAGTGGGATGTAATGTTAATTCTTTACACGTATTATGGGGGAATGCGTTCTTGAAAAATTTTGGTCCACTCTTGAATGACATTTTAAAGGGTGTAACATGTACAGTACTGTATAGTAATTGGTGAACACTATACCTGATAAAGCACTCCAACAATGTTTTAATTAACTCTCTCTACATAGGCTTGGTCAAATTGACCGACCACACGACATCTTTCCTGTGGGAACAAAGCTTGTAACCAAACAAGATTGAAGGCTAATAAAATTATGCTTTGTCAGAACAATGATGAGATTACATAGCAATTTGTGCTAAATTTCATACTTATTGGAGGGGTGGTGAATAAACTAAAGAGGGGATGACTAGAGAAAAAATTAAACATTTCTCTCACTAGGGGAAATTCAGGATTTTTAAAATTTTAACTTATAAAATGAATAACTTAAAACATATATACTATTAAAATATGGATCAATAGCTACAACTTTATGCTATACTAATTGGTATAACATGAAGTATATTTAATTAAATTTTGAATGTAATTCACTAAAACCCTCGTGACATGCACAGTAAAGGATGCCTGGGCAAAGAGGGTTAACACTCTAGTAATGAAACAAGTCGACATTGTTTCGGAACTAATGGTAGTAATTAGTAAACATTAAACCTGGAAAAGTAGTTGACGACGTTAGAACACTCTGGTAACAAAGCATGGCAACATTGTTTGATACATGGGTAGTAATTGGTGGATGCTCTAATAATGAAACAATGCAGAGCGATGCAATGTATAACGGGGACCCAATGTACTAAAATAATGCCTTAATTCAAATGACAAAAAAAACATGTAATAAAATATTTTTGTGCAATATAAGATGATGTAATCTAAACAGATAATAATATAAAAAAATACAGATATAATACTGCATAATCAGTGTTACAATTTTAATTGTAGCAGAAACATCTGAGAGCCATACTTTATCCATTATGTGATAACTCCTGCCAAATAAATTGTTAAAATTCAATAGTAATAATTACAATTAATAATAAACAGTCCTAATTTTGAGTGACAGGCAAACTACAGAAATCTTCTATGATCATTCTGCCTTAGGTTACTCTCACTTTTAAATATTAACACAATTTAATGTTTTGCACCATTTAGGAAACACACTAAACATAAACAAAGAAACACACAGTTCAGTTTAATTAGAACTATGTGACTATGTCTGTGAAAAATACTTCAATATATATAAATTTTTTTGCCACTATTATTTGTCTATAAAATTGTTTTTCTAATTAAAATGGATATTAAAAAAAGCACATTAATTGTACTCACAAAGTGGCTTACTATTTATTTGAAAAATACAAACAGTTAAAATTATATTCCCATACAAAGTATAAAAAAGCACTTTTATTTAAAAAAATTAATTTTAAAATACTTTTATAGTTGTACAAGTATCATCACAAACCCATACAATTTTCTAAGTATGACATTTTTAGGCCAGTTTCTCATCAACACCTACATCTACAGATTGCTGCTGAATGATTTTTTTTCTTTCAAAATTTAAAATTTATCTGTCTATTTCAAGTGTTTTATTGAAATGCCACTTATACAAAAATGTTTCTAAAAATATCTAATGAGAACTGGAACTTTTTAATCTCACCTTAATCTTTGAAACAAAATATTTATTCCATATGCAAATTAGAAAATGAATATTATTATTCTGATAAACACACATCTTTTAAACAATTGAAAAACAAATGAAAGTTTTTATTGCTTATTCATGATTACCTTATTAGATACAGAACTGAGTTTTTTAACACTTAAAAAATCAGAAGCAAGTTAGTTTTGTTAATCAACTCTACTGCATTTGACAAAATATTCCTGATTTTGTCTTATATCAATTAACATTTTTTCTGCATTGAGTTGACATTGAAATTCTGAATTAAATCCAATACGATAAAATTTATGTACCCTCGCGAAATGGTAAGCTTTCAGTAAACATTATACGTCTTTTGTGCAGAAAAAATCTAAATTTCTAATAAAAGTATTTTTCCTAAAAATTAATGATTCAATAAAGGAAGATGAGTATTGAATACTACATGTTGTCTTCATTTCGTTTATCAAAAACATTACATGCAAAATAGCATAACAAATTAACAATAACAAGATAAATAGACAGATGTTAATTTTTTTTCTCTCTTGCCAGCTCCCATTTAGTTGATCAAACCTGAGA